CGGCGCGGCAGTCAGGTAGGCTGCCGACGTGTTGGCGAGCAGCTCGGCGCGCCTTCTTGTTGAGGATGGTGATGACTGGCTTCTTGTGCGGCAGGTCTGGTATGCCCAGGTGGTGCACTACCGCCTGACGGTACGGCAGCGAGTCCACATCCGCCTGCTGCCGGTTCAGGTTGCCCGTACCCGCCAGCAGCGTCTGCAGCCCAGCGCGCAGCACGGCGGCAGCGGCACGCGGTCGGCCAACTGCCATGGGCTCGTTGGCCGGGCCGCGGTCGCAGGCGTCGCCGCATGCCGCCACGAGGTGCCCAGGCCCGCCGGCACGCCACCTCCGACCGACACACACACCCACACACACACACGCACACGCACACGCACACGCACACGCACACGCTCCTCCACACACGCTCCCCCCACTCCCCCGCACCTTGAAGCACACCAGGCCGTCCCGGGAGTCCCCCAGCGCCGCCGCCGCGTACTCTCCCACCCACGCCGCCTCGTGGTCGTGCGTCAGCCGCAGCACGCTCTTCTCGGGCTTGCGCGTGTTGACCAGCTTGGGCAGCCAGTAGCGCAGGTCGTCGTCGGAGCCGTTGACGGCAAAGGGGATGAGGATCTGTGCGGCGGGGTCGTACAGGCCAAACTGGTGCTGCATGTTGAAGATGGGCACCATCACATCAAACATGACGTGCCTGCAGGGGACGTGAGGGGGCAGGGAGGCATGGGGCAGGGGCGGTGGGCGCAGGGCAGGGGGCAGGGGCGGTCAGGCCGGATGCGGGGCAGGGAGGCAGGGGGCAGCCGGCGGTGCCTTGGCTGCACACGTGACTAGGGACAGCACGCCGCCTCACCCAAAGTTCCACAGCAGGGGCGGCGGGAAGGCGTGCAGCAGGCCCTGGTCGGAGGCAGCCCACTTGACGCGCGCACCCGGCCGCGGGAACTGCCGCCGCTTCACAACCGGCGCCCAGCTGACGCTGGTGTCGATGCGTGCGTGGCCTGCAGCGGCGGCGGCAGGCGGGCGGTGGGCAGCCTGTGGCTGGTGGGCGGCCCGGGCGGCAGGCAGCTTGCAGGGGTGCGCAGCCCGGCCAGCCACCACACCTCCAACTCGCCACTGCGCCGCCCCGCGGCTGCCCGCTGCTGCTGCCTGCCGCTGCCTGGCACGCACCCGGGTTGACCATGGTGGGGGGAAAGTCCTCCTGCGGGTTGCCGCTCTGGTCAAACGCCACCGGGTTGCCTGCGCCGGCGCAGCACAGGGTGCAGGTGCAAGCAAGCTGGGCCCTAGCAAGCCGTCACGGTGCGCGTGGCTGCACGGCACCCCGAGCTCCCTCTTGCCAGCCGTGTGTGCCGCCCGCCGGCTGCCGCCGCGCTCCTCTGCGCCTGCCACCCTGCCGCCCTGCCGCCCGCCACCTCACCCACCTATTCCCCAGTCCACCACTCCTGAATAGGCTGGGTCCACGTAGTATTCAAACTGCCGGGTGCTGGCGTTGATGCACACGTTGTCAAACTTGCATGTGGCCCTGCACGCGGCAGAGGGGCGGGGCGGCGCGGGGCATAGGTGCGCCTGGCTGCACACACAGGTCCCTGGCACATGTCCGCCGCAGGGCTGCGTGCTGGAGCTGGCGGCTGCATTCCTGTCCGCTCATGCCGCCGTGCCTGCCTCTTCACCAGGGCTGCATGGAGCCCACGGCAGGGAGCTCCCGCCAGCCCCTCGGGCTTGCAAGTCTGCCCTGCCCTGCCCAGCCCTGCCTGCCCTGCCCTGCCCTGCCCTGCTGGCCCGGCCCTGCCAGCGCGCCCCACTCACTGGTGGTAGTTGTCGTAGAACTTCTGTGAGATGCAGGTGTGGGTGGAGTACTTGGGCGCATGGCGCCACGAGGCCCGCTCCCCAGCTAGCGCCCACGAGCTGACCAGCGGCGGCTGGCTGCAGGCGGCGGCGACGCCCCGCCCCAGCCGCTGCTCGCCTTCTAAATCTTGCACAGACGCCTCCTCATCCAGATTCCGTAGCTCTGTAGAGCAGGCAGGGCGCAAGCAGCGAACTGTTGTGGCCCAGCGGCAACAGCGCAAGGCAACCACCACCGCCCAACTGGCGGGCGGCGGCGGCGGCGGCGGCGGCGGGCTGAGCGCGTTGGCAGCGCACATGCGCCGCTCAGCATTGCTGGTTGCTCAGCCATCAGACGGCAACACTGCAGAGGATGCTGCTCCCTAGATGTGCCTCCCACATGCTGCAGGGTTGCCAACCTGCGTCAATTTTCTTGGCCTTCCACCTGTAGCTTGCCACATAGCACACGCCAAGCACCAGCAGAAGCGAGGACACCAGCGTCTGCCTCGCACGTCGCTTGGCTGATGCGGGCTTCCCCCGCTGCGGGCTTGTTGTCACCCCCTTCATCGCAAGCCCCTCAGCAACCTATACAGCATTGACCCTAAAGGACAATTGTAGCGGTCGGGCTCCCCCTGGGCACCGTTGGGGGGCGCCATGGCGGTGCGGGGCGGCAGTACGGCAAAATCCCCTAGCCCAGGTTACATGTGGAGCACTGAGACAATTGAGCTGAACTCAAGCTTGTCAATGCAAGCAGTCCTTCAACGGGCATGGCAAGAAGGCATGGCAAGAAGGCAGGATGCAATACAACGTGGCAACCTGACCGCTGGGCTACTGTTGCCGCCGCAAGCTGCACGCGCCGTCTCCCAGCACCTGCCGCATGGCCGCCATCAGCGTGTGGTTGGGCACCAGGTGCGCGTCGGCCAGCTGCTCGCCCGTCATGGGGGAGGTGCGGTTCTTGGTCAGCCAGGACTGGATGGCATCCCGCTCATAAGTGAAGCCTGCAGGCGGGGGCACGCAACCCTCGCAACAGTTGCTATGCACTAAACCAATGAGCACGCAAGACGGCAGCATGCGGCGCGCTCAGATGGTGCATGCTGGGCTGCTGCCGCCTGCCCACAGCAGGCTCACCATCGGCCGCCACCACCGGGTCTTGCAGCACCACGTGTGTGATGGGGCAGATGAAAGCCTCCGGCACATGCGCATCGTCATCCCCCAGCTGCGCTGCCGCCAGGTACTGCGCCAGCCTGGCGCTGCTCATGGGCACAGCGCCCACGTCGGCAGCCCCCACCGCCACAGAGGCAGATGGCGGCGGCGGCGGCGGCGCTGGCAGGCGCCGCGCAGGCGGGCTGCCCACGCCGCCGCCGCGGTTGCTGCCGGCGCCAACGCTGTACTGGCGCGGCGGCGCTGCCGCTGGCGGGATGGGGCTGTTGGGGCCGGGGCCATACATGGGGCGCTGGCCCTTGGATGCCAGCTCCGCCAACACCGCTGCCTCATCGTGCACATGCTCCCGCAGCTCCCGCTCGCCGTGAGCAAAGCTGCAGCGGGCTCCGAAGCGGCAGTTGCCCTGCAACATTGGACAAGCATGCAAGGGCGGCTGCCTTGGTGCCGGGTGCTGCCGGGCATCTGCCAGGAAAGTAAAATGCGGGGGGCCAGCCAGAGACCGACCGCGACTCACATTGTTGTTCAGATAGTGCTGCACGCAACAGGCAAGAAGAATGAGAGCAAGTATCAGTTGGAATTCGATGCTCAGTGCTCAATAGGGACATACCGCAGGCCTAGTTCCCAGGCAGCTGCAGCCACCATCATACCACGGGCACTCACCCAACACAAGTGAACTTTGTAGCAGTGCGATGATGGCTGGGGGGCCGGCGGCGGCACCCAGCCTAACTTTGCTCGCTCCTCGGCAACTCGGCGTGCATAGCGCTGCCTGCAGGGCAGCATCCTCGGTCGGGTGGCATGGCATTTCGGGGAGAGAACACAGGCACAGACGGCACGTTGGGCTCCAGCGCACTCGCCTGGCTGCTTGATTTTGCTCAGGCGAATGCGCATAGTGGCAATTTGGTCTTGTGCAGCGCCCCGTCTGCAGCACATCCTCGCACATCCGCGTGAACTTCTTGTCGTCAAGCGTCAGCTGGTCGCCCACATCGGGCGCATGCTGCGGTCGTGCAGGCGGCGGCGGCGGCGGCTGCAAGCCAGGTTTGCATAGTGAAAGGATTCAGGAAGGAGGGGAGGTTTCCCAACGGAGCACCGGATTGCATAGTGGTGCAAGCTGTGGCTCACTCGTGCGACTGGCCGGGCGGGGAGAGGCGGCAGGTGGGGGGGCCGCTGATCAGGCGGCGCAGATTGCGGCAGCTGCACATTCTCCTCGTCTACGCTCTGCCCCTCCCCTAGCGTTTCCAGCAGCGAGTAAGACTGCCAGCAGGGGCGGGGAGTTTTGCTTGTGTTCAGGTCGAGGTTTAGAGAGGGGCCACGCAACTAAACCCATCACCCAGCGAACTGACAAGGCCATCCAAGTGCCCACCGTGGAATTGGCTTGCATTCCCGCCGTCCCGAACTGATCGGCCGAACTGATCGGAGCTGAACGCAAAAACCTGGCTTATAAATGCTGCCCGTTGGCTCCACAAAGGAGTGCAAACAGGAGTGGATGCAAGAAGCTCCGCATGCATTACAGTGCCAAGCGGGCGGTCCCGCTCCGCCCGCGGCGTGGGCATGGATGCCATTCCTTGCTCATTCTGGTCACAGTGGAAACGGATGGTGATTGGATTGGAGGAGAACCGAGCACTGGAAACAGACACAGACCAAGACAAAGAGGGAGGAAAAAACAAGGCTTCAACCAGTCAACGGTGGCCGTTTCGACCCAACCTGTTGGTGCCGCTGGCGCTGGGCGCTCACTCTAGTTGCGCGCCAGCATGGACGCGGTAGCCCTTGGGGATGAACCTGCAGCGTGCGGGCACACGGGTGAGCATGCCGGACTGGGTGGGCTGCCAGCAGCGCACTTCGGTCAGGGAAGCGGCCGCCAGCATGCGGCGTGCCGGCGACGGCCCCCAGCGCACCACTGCGACAGGTCGATGCCCTCAGCCACCAGGTGGCTGGTGGCGTGCTCCGTCTTCTCCAGCAGCTTCTCGTGCAGGAAGCCGTTGCTGACCAGCACGCTGCGGTCAAAGACGGAGAAGGCGCGGCCGTCCATGGTGGTCACGCTGCCGCCCGCCTCCTCGACAATCAGCACCCCCGCCGCCATGTCCCAGGGCTTTAGGCGGTACTCCCAGTACGCCTCAGCCATGCCTGCACAGCACAGCACAGCACAGCACAGCACAGCACAGCACAGCACAGCGTGACACACTGAACAGCCCGACGTGGGGTCGGGCAAAGGCCGGCATGTGCCTGGCCAGCCTGGAGTCGCCAGCACACACGCCGCCACCAACCCACAGACACAAGTCCTACACGCATGCACATCAGCGCCACCCCCGGCGCACCGCTGGCCACGTGGCACATGTCCACGGCGGCCGACCCCAGGCGCCGCACGCCCTGGGTGACGTCCGTGAAGTGCTGGAACAGCTTCATGTTGGCCGCCCAGCACTCGTCGTGCTCGTACCCAAACCCAGTGACCAGCAGCGACTTGGTCAGGTTGTGCGTCTTGCTGACCTGGAGGCAGCAAGGGGTGCAAGCAGGTGAAGGGGTGTGTGTGTGTGGTGTCGGTGTGTGGGTGTCGGTGTGTGGGTATCTGTGTATTTGTAGGCGGCAGGTGGAGTGCAGGGTACAGCCAGGAAATGAGGCGGCTGCAGGAGCATGCTGCGACTGGGGCATGCCGCAGCAGAGGCTGGCCCCTCCGACATGTCCGCGGCAGCGGCGGGCGGCAGGGCGTGCGTGCCTGGATGGGCTTGCCGTTGCAGAAGGCGCCGCCGTTGCGTGATGCGGTATAGGTGCGGGTGACCCAGCTGCCGGGGCCGCCGCCAAACTCAATCACTGCACAGCACGCAGCAGGGAAAGCTAGAAGCAGACCTCGATTCAGAAACCCCGACGCACTCTGGCTGGGCCGGGCAGCGCCGCCAAGCCTCCCCTCCCTTGGCAGCACCTGTGGATGCGACGGGCGTGGTGTGGCGCAGCACCGCCACGCAGACCGCAAAGGATGGGTAGCCGTGCGCAAAGTTGGTGGTGCCGTCCAGCGGGTCCACACACCACAGGTACTCGCTGCTGGTGTCGCCTGCGGGAGCGCGGGGGAGCAAGCGTGCAGGCGTTGCAGGTGGCGGTGCAGCATGCAGGCGTGCGCGGCCCAGAGGGGGCACTGAGCAGCAGGTGGCCGGCAGCGCCACGAAGCAGCATGCCCTGGCGCTATGCCACTTATCTGCCCTTGCCCATGCTTGCCAGCGCTCGCCCTCCCGCCACCTGCCCTGCTTGCCGCTGCCCCTGGACCCGTCACGCCTCACCCGACACGCCGCCCTCCTCCCCCAGCACCGCGTGGTTGGGGAAGGCCTGCTGGATGGCGGCCAGCACGGCATCCTCGCTGGCGCGGTCGGTGTCGGTCACGAGGTCGGTGGCCCCCTTAAACTCTATCGTGCGCGGCTTATCCACAGCCTCCATCACCACCTGCGCCAGCCAGGGGCAGCGCCGCCAGCGGCCCCGCGAGCAGGTAATGGCGGCAGGCAGGAAGGTGCTGACATGCGGCGCAGTGGGGGGATGAACAAAGTGCGCTGCCAGGGCAGTGCCCTCCGCCCTGGGTCGCATTGCGCCACCCTGCTGCAGCGTGTGCCTCATGGGACCCACCTTGGCTCCCGCCTGGGCTGCCCGCTGCGCCACCTCCAGCAGCTCCTTGTTGGCTATCCGCCCCGAGGCGCACACCCGCACCGCCCACCGAGCGGTGTGGCGGCCGCCGCCCAAGGCTGGACGGCCAATCGCCGCCGCACATGGTCGCCGAGGGACTACCAGTGCCTGCATTACCGCCGCCTGCATTGTGCTGCTATAGGCGCGAAGCGCTCGCTGAGGGCGACTGCACCGAGGAATGTGAGTTGTGGAGGTCGTCAGGGCTCGATTGGTAGTCTTCCTGCAGCAATGATGATCATAAGTCACGGGTTTCAGCCAATAGTGAGCACAAATGCCCAAGCCATGTGTTGCCCCCTGATGTGGCACCCTCCCGATTGGGCAACCCCCGCCCCCGCTCGCTCCTGGCAGCCCGCGCGGCGCTCCCCTCCCATACGTGAACTGACCCCATAGAGCCATGTTTGAGGGTTGAGCGGGGCGGAGCGGGGCTGCTTGCACACGTGATGGCATGCACGCTTCAACGCTCCCGCTGTCATCTCACCTCTCTAGCGTCAGAAATACAACTCTTACAAGCCAACCAACACGAACAGAGAGACCGAACAACAGAAATGAACAGGAAATATGAAGCCGCCACAGGCGGCAGCACCTTTCAGCGGAGACGGCAAAGCGTACAAGGCACACTTCTTCAATGGTTCTTGCAATTGCCACCCTTACCGGTTATACAGCCACAGTGCCGCCCACACCGCGCACCATTCTTCTTGCAGCTGCAGTTCCGGGTGCAGGCGCCGCGGCAGCCGCAGCGCACGGCTGCCTTGCCGCCGCCGGGCTGCGCCGCCATCGCCACATTGAGAGACACCACAGGCACTCCTCGCTGCGCCGTGCCGCTGAAGGTCAGCTCGCTGGCCAGGCTGGGTGGCGCCTTAGATAGCCTGCTGGCCTGATGCATACCCTCCACCACTCCAGCTCCGCTCCGCAGCCGGTACATGGTCACGCCAAAGGGCCGCTTGATCTCCACCACGCGGCACACGATGCGGTTGCGGCCCAGCTGCTTGCCCACTTTGCCGCGCTTCGGCGGCA